ATGCCTTTCATCTGTCTTGTCTTTGGGCTGTATGCGGAGACACAAACTAGCATATACTGGAATTCATCAGCCAATTCTTGCTGCATATCATGGTGGCAGCCATTACTAATAGGATTAATTGGTCTTGACTGATGAAATTGTAAAAGCGTATACCTCCAAGGCTCATAAACACTCAGCCTTAATCAAAATCAAATGTATATTTTTTAAAAAGCGTGCCCAGCATCTTAGACTCCTTTCTGTTTAGGTTTTGTTGACATTAGCAAAGGTAAAGAAACCCGACCAAGAAGGTTTGGTGTTATTATTGCTTTGAATACAAACTTCTCACTGCTCTTAAGTAACTGATTAGGGAAGTGACTAATATTCTCTTGATTATTGGTTACACATATGGAATAAATCCCATTTTAATTGTGTCTAATGAGGCTTTCATTTTTAGAACCTTACACAAAAGCTTCTGATAGAAAGGGAAAGTAATATTTCAAAGGTCGTTTTAATGTTACTTAATATCAACAACCCCTAATCAAACTAATATATAGAGATGATGATTGCAGTCCAGTGTGATTCTTTAAATATGAAATAATTTTCTAAATTAGAAAAGTGGTGCGACCTAAAATTCTTTAGATTTGAGGTGACTTAAAATTTCTAATTAAAGTTTGTTACCTAAAAACAGCCTCAGGGTTAAAGAGATATTTCTCAAAGTGAAGCTTCATGCAGTGCAGTCTTTTCAAAACCCATGAGATTTAAAATTCTGTCACTTGCAGTTTCATGCACTATTCTTATATGTCTGTAATTCCACTGAAATGTGCAAATGGCTCCCCTTCAGTGATTTTGCTCAACAGAAGAATGGAAGGGGCAGTAGAAATGTGGGATGTCTTACGGGTCAAGAGGCTACTGAGAGAACTGTGGACATGCCTACTTTAGAACCAGACCTCTGCCTGGTAGCAGATTTAAAGTCAGGAATTTAAAGACTTTCTAGTAAGAGATTGGTGTTCTTGGATTTTTGTTCGATTGCTTTGTGAATGAAGATAACTTTGCCCTTCCTTGGAATGGAGATACTCCTTTCAGTCCTGAGGTAGCTGCTACTATGCTAGTCCCCATGGCTTTTGTCCAAATTAGAAAAAGAATGGATTGTGCAAAATGCTTTCCTTCTTTCAGAAGATTTTGTAAGAAAATGAGCAGTGATCATAGTAGGAATGGCGTTTTCTAATTCGCTCGTTTATATTGGCCATAAAGAGGCCCCATGCACAGAGGTGAGGTCAGAGAATTTGCATTTCTGACAAATTCCCAGGTGATGCTGATGCTGCTCTTGGTCTAAGAACCATGTCTTTGAGCAACACTGTTGAGGGTTCTTTGGTATTGAACCTGATCAGCCATATGCACTGACCTTGGTTTCTACCTTCACGTGAGTCAGCTTTGCATTTTACTCATTTTGTTCGTATAGGACTTACTCAGTATTTGTTGGAGGATAAATAATGTTACTTAGATAGAAATCACTAAAGCAATGAAAACACATAGCAAGAAGTTTAGTATGAAATAAACGTTCAATGGACCACAGCTCGCTTTTCAACCACTCCCCACATAGTATTGTCTCTCTTGTATATCCTATTTTTTTATCCTTCAACTTCCCTGTTGACTCTAAGATTTGATTGTGTGTTATTTTTCTCTTATCTACCAGTATGTGATCTATAAATCTTAGACCACGTCAGGCTTGGTGATTCTAAGTCACTGGGGTTTGCGTTCATGGCTCCACAGCCAGTCCAGGAAGAAGAGGACCTGAGACAAAGCAAGTGCTTGGTTGTGCAGGAATTGGTTGGTAACTGTGAGAAGAAAGTCAGTTGACATCTTGGAAATAAGCTTTTAGGATAGATCTTGCACTATGGGAACTTCAGTGAAAGGTTTTGACTTATGATCAAAGTAGGGAATTATTTGTAATGGTCTTTGCTTACCTAAATTTGAATGTTCATTTACAAGGTCAGAAGTACTTAATAAAGATTTGGAAAACCTAAAAAGGGAGGACAAAAGCCATCTATTGGCCAAACACCCAAAGAATCCAATTTTGGTATCTCTTGTAACAACCTTTTGTAAACGTGCCTAAGTGTTAGTTTATTTTTGAAATATTTTCATTTAACTGAATTTATATATCTAAAGGTAAAAAGCTGCTTCAGGGAGAGGAAATTCTTGTGCTGAATTATGGGATTAGTCCCATAATGAAAGATAATGATTCATTATAAAATTATTTGCTTTTAAATTTCATCGAGATCATTAGAGAAGCAAACAGCACCTCCTTTTTCTTCCAGAATCTTCAGCATGACAAGTTTTTCCAAGTGTTTGTGAAGTGCTGTTGTTAGACTGCCCACCTAGGCACTGTCAGTCCTTCAGTGCCTTCTTTTACCAGCCTTGGGATCATGGTTTCTTCAGGTTTATTTCTTCAACAAGAATGAATGAGCCCTTGCATAAGTGAAATTACCTTTGCCTGCCTTCATTTGTACAATTCATTGAGATCAAACTCTTCACTCATGTTTTCCCCCTGGAAATTGAAAATACTGTGATGCTACTGTGTCATCTTCTGGCCTTTCACATTACAGAGGAAACATTTGATATCAGCTGAATTTTTACCTATTTGACTGACAATCGTTTTTGTAATTTTCAGCTTGGCCGCTCATAGTTTCCTCTACCTTTGCTATTTTTAAATGATTATGTTCATGATTGAATGAGATATTACTCATTTTTATTGATTTGCTTGAAATGCAGTGAGATTTTGGGGCTTTTATTATTGCTTTTGTTATTAGTAATAACCGTTGAATTCTAAGAGGACTTGTGAGTGAGCATTTACCTGGGAAGACCTGGGAAATGCTAGCAGACATGGCATTGACGTCTGATCATGTGGACATTTGGGTTAGTACAGCTCCTATCCAGTCACTGTGTAGAACTAGGAGTCTTGCTTTATCTGGTACTCACAGGAGCCCATTAATCTGTTCTAAAGTTGTTTTCCATTCCCATTCTGGTGCCAAAACAATGCAGCTTTTTCTCTAAGGAGACTGTGAGAGGGAGAGAATCCTGGGCTCTGTCCTGCCCTGGGTATGTGCTGCCAGAGTTTGTGCCCGCAGAGCAGGCCCTGAATGAAATCCACCCAGGAAAGAACCTTGCTAGGAATCAGGTTCCAGGTTTAGTGCATCCAAACCACAGGCACATTTCAGGGTTAAGTGTGATCCACTAGGTGATTCCAAGTAAAATAAACTGAGCTCCAGGAGTTTTCTCTGACTTGTCATTCAAAGGGAACCTTAAAAACAGATCTTTGGTCAGCAGAGACCGCTTAGCTATGAATTAGGAGTTAATTTTGATCCTTTTTATCCTGAGACTTGAGAAACACTTGAAAAGCTGCAGAAATAAGCCCCTCAACTCCTTTTCCTCTAACGACATGGCATTATATGCCCTTTGCCGCTGAAAAAAACTAGTTGGCTTCGTCAGCATTCATTTTCCGTTCAGGCTAAATTTATTTTTATGTGAAATAGAAATCAGGAAAACACCAAAATTATTTTAAGCAAAATATCAAAATTGAAATAAACCAACATATGTCTGTGAAACATGTATAACTCTCAATCAAAAATAAGTGCAACTTTCATAAATTTCTTAAAATACTCCAGCGTGCAAAATCTGAGCAACTTAAATAGATGGAATTATGACATGTTTGATTATTCTTTGTACTTAGTTCATTCTTTACTTGAGGGTGAAAATTCCAGTCACCAAAACTTGTCCAGCTCTGGATCATCCTTTGTGAGCTACATTGCAATAAGTAAGGGAAAAAAGGAGTTTCTTAAAATCTTTGCACCAAGGCTTTCTGATTCCTGATAATTTTGAATCATAACCTTCTTGAACTGACCTTCTTTATTTGTATTCTTCCCTAAACTTCTCCCTGCCCCTATAGTCCTCTTTAAGAATTGAGGTTTCTTGATTGCTTTAAGCATATTACACTTTATTTAGGTAGATTTTTTTCATATTTCTCAATTTCCCTTCTAGTGGGCACTCAAATGAAATTAAATCTGTCAGAGTCACACAAATATTGTTGGGTTTAGCACTAAAGGGAACGTTAAATGATAAATCTCCATCTCAAATGTATGCTTCATTTATAGGCTTTTCCTAATAATATTTTCCTCATTGTACTATCATTTGAGGATGAGAATCACTTTGATCCTATAAAGTAGCTGATATTTTGCCCATAGAAAATATGAAGTAAACATTACTTTCAAAAATTATTGACCACAAAAATCAAATGTATGGTAGCATCCAAACTTTCATTTTTAATCGTCTTCATTGAATTATATAGAAATTTTTTTTTAAAATGAAAGTTAAAATACTGGAAAAATAATACTAAATGAGTTGTCTGTTTTGTAGTTCCCTTTTAAGCATGCTTATAACTTTATCTCTTGAAGCTTGACATTACCATACACATTAAAATGGTGACAGGGGGAGTTGAAAAAGCCATAGTTATTGTAGTATAGTTAGGAAGTTCTGATCATATCTATGTGGTGGACACCTGCCCTTGGCATCCTCGACCCACATCGTCAATTCTCCTTTTCTCTCATACATCACTCTGATTTTTCCTGTTAGTTTATTAGTTGTCAAAAAGTTTCTTCCTTCCTGGTTTCTTCAGTTTAGACCAATTTGGAAGTGGAAAAGTTTGTTAATTTTTTTAATAAATCTTTAAGACACACATTACTGTATTTTTATTAACTGAGCCAGATGGCTCACTGAATTTTTTCTAACAGAAGTGATCACAGAAATCAGTTTGGGACCCAAATCTAGTATAGAAAGTGGCATGTATATTCAGTAGAAAAATGCAGTTCCCATAAGCATATGAATAATTTTAGCAGTAATTCTTGTTCCCATTTGGATTTCATTTTAGTTTATTGTTTTAACCGAAGTATAAAGACTTTGTCCCCACCCACCCCGAATCAAACACTCGAGGTCCTTCTCAACAACCAAAGATTGTTTTCCTTTTGCAGTTTGAAGGTTGCAAGAAGGCCTTTTCCCGGCTTGAGAACCTCAAGATACATTTGCGGAGCCACACAGGCGAGAAGCCATACCTGTGCCAGCATCCCGGCTGTCAGAAGGCATTCAGTAACTCCAGCGACCGTGCCAAGCACCAGAGGACACACCTGGACACTGTAAGGATGGGGCCAGCTTTCTGCCTTGCAGCAGAGCCTGGTGTACAGAAGTACTCCTCTGAGAGTTGGGTGGTAGAAGTATTTGCTGTGTAACCTGCAGGTTACAGGGTCAGTGCCAAGGGCAGCAGTGGAACTCGGAAAAGTGCCCAAAGGAGCCCTGTGTGGCTGTTTCATTTTTTGTAGTCACAGATTAGTCTAAATGTTAGAACTTCCTAGGGTAAAACGTTACTTAGTTACTTCTGTATATAAAACACAAAGCATGTAGAGGATGTTCTGTAATAGATTTTAATACAGACAGTCACCCATACAGACTATTAAAATAAGTGGTTAACTGTCAAGACATCCCAAAATAGCAGTGTGTGCTACTTCTAGTAATATGAGATGTGTTTTTTGTTTGGTTGGTTAGTTATTGACTCTGGTTCTTTTCTTCTTGATGTAAGAACCTTGCAGCTGATATAGTTTTTGAAAGTGAATCTGGCCTTTTGCTTTAGAAACACCTGGTATTTTCACCTTCAAGCAATCTAGGAAGAAACAGCAAATATTTCCCAAGGGTTCAGTTTCTTCATGCTTCCTCTGTGTTAACAGCCACATATCCTTGGATATCAACCCTATGAGAACAATTGATTTTTATTATCATACCCTTAACTCCTTTAATGCTGCTAGATTTTGATCATTTGCAAATACCTTTTCTGTTTAAGTCCTGTTTTTTTTTTTATTTTTCACATTATGTTGATAGGCCTCCTTTGCATTTCTCGGGCTTTGATGCCATTTTTCTTACATGAGACCAGGTAGACCTATGTAATTTCATTTCACTTAACAAAGCCATTGGGATAAATGTATTATAGATATCACAGATCTCTTATCCTACATTCCTCCAAATAATGTATTCATGACAGTACTTTCTCAGTGTTAACATTCTGATGTCTATTATTAAACTACACCACAGTTTGAATTTTGAAAAGATACTGTTATTTCTACACACCTTCTCATACATATTTAAGATTCTTCTGATGTTGTAGTTGACATATTTATTAAATTTTATATTAGTCTCTATTAGTCATGTTGATACAAGTCATTTTAGCTATATGTCACATAACCTTTCTAAACAGAATTATCTCCTAATATATGTTAATGTGATGGTTTGCCTAATAAATATCTGAAATACAGTTAGAATAAATAGTATGGGCATAGGGTAGCTATTTTTGGCTCTCACTGAATTGAATTCAGTGATTTTAGGACCAATAGAATAGAATATTAAATGAGTAAAAATGGTGAGTAGTGGGTTTTTTAATGTAGGAAAATGAAAAAAATTAATTATGTTTAAATACCTTATTTTGTTGTGTCTAAAATGATCTTGGTTGACTCCAACAAATTTTCCAAATTGTCATTAAAATTTATCATGGAAGAATGTACATTCATGAGACAAGATTGTGTTGAGAAATTGCTTATACTCTGGCTAGTTATCTGTAGCTTGAAAGAACTGCTGTAAGAATAAGTGCTGTAATTCTACAGGACCCTTTACTTGGTACTAATTTTAACTAATCAATCAGAAAGTATTTTCAAAAATCAATTCAGAATTTAAAAGCATGTATCCCTTTTAAAACTTTTAAGAAAAACGACCTAAGATAATAATTTGAAGATTGCATTTCAATGCATTAGTTCTTAAAACTCAGCTATTTTTTGGAAAAAAAAAAAAGATTCGATTATATCTGTTAAAACTATCATTTTTCCTTGACATTCCAAACAAGCTTTTTACATTTTTACTAATTTAACAAACTGGTGAATTCTTTTGAAACCACACTGAAGTTAAACACTTATTTTAAGCAGTGAATTATAGTCACTTAAAGAATTTATGATTTAAATTTAGGTTTTGGTTCCCTTTCATTAATCATTCCTTATGTAAATACTGTCAGAATTTTGGATAAGGTTTCTTTCTTAACTAGGTGGGTTCTTTACACATAGGAAAATTATTTTCCCATAAAGATTACTGAGTTCTTAATTCTAACCCTGAAATATTTTATTAGTTCATTTCTCTGTTAATATTTTAATAGCTAAACAAGGAAAGTAATTATCAGTACAGATGGAAAACAATGAAATATATAGTTTAATGAAGCAAAGTGTTCTGTTTAAAGCTTAGGTAAGCTGAGATAAAATGACCAGGACAGAGTACTACTTAGGCCGTCCCTGAGATTGCTATGTTGGCACCCTGGTCCCAGGGCAGAGGGCAAGAACAGAGAGTCAAGCCTCCTTGTAGGAATAGTGTATATTTAAACTTTATCCAAGAATGTCTCAGAATTAAATACCAATAACATTACATATTATGTAGGCATCAATTTCTGTAACATGTTAATATTCATAAAGCCTTTTTATATGAAACATATCCTCTCATGCTCAAAACATGAGCGTATGTGCTCATGATGGTGTTTCAAATACAGATATTGGCTAGTAATTCTCCTAAAGCTGAGATAGTGTAGGGAGGGCTAGTTTCAGAAAGCTCTGTAAACTTAGAGAAGATTCTCAGGTTAAAGAAATCTTTGTTTACACAAGTGAAAGATCAACTTTCCAATAGTTAACTCACTGTTTTGTAAAAATTGAAGTATTGAGGACCTGGTTCATCCACTGTTCATTCTCTGCTCCCTGTACTAATGCAGTGCCCAGCACATTCTGAAAGTGTGAGAGCTACTGAGTGATCTCAGTCAGTCAGCCAATCAACAGACACATCAGATATAAACTTAGAATTCAGACTAGGTATGTCAAATTAAATTACATATGCATGATTTTACCTTGTTCTTGGAATTAAAAATGGAAGGAAAAAGTAGTGAACCATAAATATTGCTTCTAGCAAAGACAATAATATAACCCAGATGCATGTTGGCTCACAAAATGACAGGAATGCACATGGAAACAAGAGTAAAACATAAACAATAAAAGAAAATATGGGGGAGGGGGTTGTCAGTAGTATGGAAGCCTCTAGAGCAAGATTGCTATTTTGGAGACAAGGTTTCAGTTTTCCTCCTTGTGTTTCACCTCCTGTAGGCACAGGTCTCTTACCTTACCTGATGAAGTACTAAATTACTAAGTAGATCAATGACAATGAATACATGGTACAAATGCAGTTCATCTTGGGGCATTTTTTTTACCTCACTTCTTGGATAAGCAGAAGGTTTGGGCTGATCTTGCAACTGAAGAGTCCTGATTTCAAACCTCTTGACAAGAATGTTGTCGTTGTAATAGAAATAATAATGCTGAAATTTTTGTGCATGTGAGGTGTTGTCATTCATTCATTCATTCATTTCTAACTCTCATGTACCAAGCACCAGGGATATGAAAGTAAAGTAAATTCCAGATTCAGTCTTAGGCTCCATACTTCACATCTCAGGAGCATGGAGATTGGAATAGCCAGAATCACACTCAGCCAGGGGCTTATTCACTTAACTGAGGCTCAGAACAGGACTTCCCTGCAACTAATAATATTAATGTTCTTCTTGCCAGTTTTTCACGTGTCTGTTATTTGCAACACTGTCTTTCACTTGCTTTATGCTAATTTTTCCTTCTTAATTCTCTCCCTCTCTCTTTCTGAATCAGGTTTCTTCTGAAACATACCCAGTCTTTTCTGGACTTTTCTACAGCTTCTTTACCTGAACCCTTAAAGAATATGTGTTTACTAGTTTCTGACAGTACCAAAGATTGTTCTCAGGGAAACATAACTGTAAGTATGATGGGAGATGCTTACTAATAATTTCCACATGAAAAAAAAGACCACAAGAGGTTTGTGGCTAGAGTGCAGTCTAAAATCATCAAGGATCGGACAGCTCTTTGTTTCTTGAGAGTTTACTGTCCTCTCTACCATGATTCAAAGTTCCTGGGCTTTCTAATTAAAGTGTGTGAGTATGACCTAGCACTTCACATTAGTTGGTTGGTAACAATTCACGCTCTGGATAATCTTTGAGTAGAACCTTCCCTGGTTGCTTCTATAATTTAACCACAGCTGGTTTTTCTTTTTTCTTTCTTATTTAGAAACCTTATGCTTGTCAAATTCCAGGATGCACCAAACGCTACACAGACCCAAGCTCCCTAAGAAAGCACGTGAAGGCACATTCTTCCAAAGATCAACAAGCAAGGAAAAAGGTAATTTTAGAAGAGAATTCTCCACCCAGACAAAGAACTTTTAAATTGCTCTGTAGCGCGTGGAGCTTCTACAGTGCACTGGAAACTCTTACACTTCTTAAAGTGTAAGATGCTTAATAACAAGACTGTGTTAGGTATAGCTGATATAGCCAGATAAGAATTTCTGGGCAAGGCATTTACAGGTGGAATCAAAGGAAATTAGTGAAAGTCATTTAAACCAGGAAGTAACAAAAGGCTTTTATGGAAATTAGGTTTAAATGGGTAAGAAAGTTGAATTGAGAAAAAAAACAATAAAAGCCCTTTGTTGAGAGACATACTATTTCATCAAATATCAGTTGGCTGCAATCGTTTTAGCTTTATGAAAAAGGTAGGTGAACCTCTAGGATAAAAACAGAATGTTCTTGTTAAGTGTAGAGAACAAGAAGGTTTCTTGTTAAGTTCTGTGTATACAAGCCTGAAAAAGGAATTGAATTTAAAGTCACTTTGACAACAGTGAGGAATTAGCGCACTTTTCAAAGTTCTTAAAAATCATCTCAGACTTGGGATAAGTATTACAGATTAACCAGCCAGTTGGCCCACCTTGCCCTCCAACCCTCACCCTATCTGGCAAGTGGTTGGCCATACTGATCTTCACTTGTGCTCAATACGGGGAGCTTACTCCCTTTCAAGGTATGACCTATTAACTGAGTTTTTAAACTTTTTAATATACCGTTGTATCTTTTCTCCCGTGGCAGTAAACATGTTGAACTACCCTGGCTTTTTTGAGTGGTTCATTTGTATTGAGATGGGCACCTGATTCATTTCAGAGCCCTTCATAACAAATGTAAGCATAGTTTGAGATTCAAAATTGTTTCAAGTGATTGAACCCCACAGCAAGGGTTTTCAGGTCACTGTGGTTTCTAGGTAGAAAGCTTGCATTCTTTCATGGTTTATATGGGATTTAACATTTGATGTTGGAAAATATTCAGTGTTTTTGTTGCTTGAAGTTTTTCTCCCTTGAGAAAAACTTGACACGATGCCAGCTAAGGTCTCATATATGGAAAGAACTTGACCTCTTCCTTGTCAGAAAAATACTCAGGTGGGAAGATTTAATAGATTCACTTAATTGTGCACCACCCCAAGCTTGTAAATCAAGTGTTAAAATCATCTATTTTTCTCTAGAAATGTATTTAAATTGTTTTGTTTGAACCCCAGTAAATAGATAACTATGATCATTTGCCCTGAATATATTCTTGGATTTCAGAAAGGAAAGGCACAGTACTGCTAAGTAATAGTGCAAATAAAATTGGAAAGAAATGCTTACTCTTCTTAAAATAGTACACCCTTGTTATATACTGTTAAGCACTTGCAGCAGAATCACTGGCTAATGGTTTCTGTCATGTGTATATTAAATATCTGAAGTGGTAAATTGTATTTCTTTTAAAAAATAGCTTTCCTAGATGAAAGGGTATTCACTGTATGATCATTCTCTTTCTCCAAGTTGTCCCACATGTCAGGCTTTGCTTGCAATATCAAATTTATCAATAAAATTGGAGAGCACTTTTTAGAGCATAATCATAATTGTTGGAACGAAAGCGTATTCATCCCCTCTGTAGATAAATAAGCAACAATACAGTGTTCCACTTAAGAAGGTTTCCTGGGTTGACAGATAAAAGAACAAAACAATGAATATTCTCAGAAATTGTTTATGATTTCTATTGTTCAGATATGGTGTGTTTCTTCCTCTGTATAAAGGTAGAGTAGTTTTGATTGTGTGAAAGATTTTTAAAGCACTAAATGAGAAAAGAAAAACAGACCTTGAGACTAAGAATACAATATTATTGACAATTTACCAGCAACTTTAGACAGACAGTCTAGATCTCAGGGATGTATTGTCAAGTAGTGTTACAGTCTGTGTCAAACATCGCAGGTCTTTCTTAAATTTGTCTTATGTAAAATGCGATGCCATCTCTCAGATGATTTATCTCAGATGACTTTTACTCTGTTTCCTCCAAATGGTTGAAATTGACCTTGTTGCTTTTTATCCTACCTTTAGTGAGCTTACACTTTCTGTTTTCCAAATTTTAACCTGCTTTTTAATTTTTAAAGCCCTTTGTGAATCTGCAATGGATTAATTTGTAGAAATGAAAGTGATGAGAATTTCTTTGTCCAAGAAACAGAGGAAATGTTACTCCCTCCAGAAAAGCAGTTGCTAATAGACCTGAGATCAGTCAAGCTACATTTCTTAATCTTGGACTGATATACCAGTGTGTTATATTTACATGGCACGATGTTGTTACTAGACCTTGGAGAGATTCTAATTGCTTGCTCACATCAGGTCTTGGTATTTGAAATATTTCCTGGCAGCAATAATAAAAAGAAAGAAAGAAAGAAACAATAAACCTTTTAAGGCAGAATTAAGATTATTTACGACTTTAATTAAAAATTGAAAACTGGCATCATTTCAAAAAAGCCTTTACAAAAATTTGAATTCATCAGAAATAACCATAAAAATTCCAAGGTGATAAAGGCACAGTGGAGTAATGGTCCCAGCCCTAGGGAATTGTTTTGTTGAAAAGAATAAAACTCTTTTCTGTCACACCCTGTTAGTCATGGACTAGTTTAATATACCCTGCCTGCCTGCCTGCCTCTAATCCACTTTTTAACTTCTCCCCAGATACTAAATGACAATATTTTTGGTCTTAACATTACCAGTTTGTGAAGCCGTATTCTGGAATTGGGGCCACTAACAAAGCATCCATAACTGTTAGTTTAAATGTATATGAGGATTAAAATGTGTAATAGATAATACGAAATAGGAAGACAAGGCCCAAAGGGGAAGGGAAAGAAATAAATATGAAAAGGAAAAAAACGGAAGCAAGGTTTTTGTAAATAGGGGTGGAGGGGTGGAAGAGAGGGCAGGGGAGCGGGGAAAAAAATAAGAACCAAGATATATCATGTAAAGGTACGAGATCACAATGATGAATGTCATCATTTTGTATTCCTAAAATGAACCAATAAACTTAATGAATTTTAAAAATGTGTATCAGGAAAGGCCAGGATCTCCTAAGTGATGCCCTGGCCATGAGCCTGTGGCCCTTTCTTGTACCTGATAGGTTCTACTGAAAACAGAAGTACCAGGACTCTCAGTTAAACATCATTCGAGGTGTAAAAAGAAAGGGAAGGAAAAACTCTTCAGAAAAGAAATGGGGACAGTTTGGCTCACTACATGCAGAGAGTAAATTTTCTCTTTGCATAAATCTTTCACACCTACACATTCTATCAGCCAAGGTACAAATTTCTTCCATCCTGTGCACTTTGCATTTCATGAGTCCATTGAAACAGGGCTACACAGATAAATAAGAAAAAAAAAATGCTCAAGTTACCAGCAACAATCTCCACTGAGAATAGAATTTAGCCTGTAGAGCAAAAGGCAGAATCTGTCCTTCAATTCCATCTGATAATGTGTAGTGAAATAGGGGAGAACCAAGGCAGTAAGCCACTTGAAATCTTCCTCAAGGCTGTGAGCTTTATCGGAATTTTTCATTTTCACCTTGGAAGTGCCATGAACGGGTGTTTCCTTCAACTCTTGCCTGTTATCAAAATGAGTATTCTAAAAAGTGAATGCAAGCAAAACCTGGCCAGAAGTTAGAGGTGACATGAATGTTTCATCCACTTCACACTTCCAGAGAGATTCTGAACTTTGAGCACAATCTGTTAAATGTTTGTTAAACATCGACCTTTAATTTGCTCTACTCGATGACTTTCACTCTTATACCTCAATTCAGGCTGTAACAAACCAAGCACAGTCTTTGAAACGTGTGTGAATGTCAAACATTTATTTGTGTTTGCTATTTGGAGAACAGCTCTGTATAGCTTTCTGGCTAAGTTAGAGCAGCTTATTTAATGCAATTCTCTAATACAGTTTTCTAAGAACTCCGATATGTGTTTAGAGCCATCTCCCCTCCCCTGTATGTTCGGAACAACCACATAGCTTCCTCTTGCTTTGTGTAGCTCTGGAATCTTGAAAAGTATGTAAAAAAATCATTATTTTTTTTTTTTCTCTGAGCTGAGGCATGTAGAAAAAGGACTAAGGACTAAGTGCACTGGCCTTTTCAATCAGCTGTTTTCTGTCGTGGTCTAAATGGCAGGTGGGGTACACAGTGAGGACTCTCCCCCGATTTTGCAGCCTTTATCATCTGTTTCTTTCTTGTTTCTCATCAGGAATAAATTAAAACCGCTCCCACTACTAATGGAGTATTAGTAAGAGGCACACATCACAGACGCAGCCTGTCAAGATGAGCCAGCACTCCCTGCCTCCCACATTTAAGAAACTGTTAGAATGCGAGTGAGCTAGAGCGGTGCTGTTGTAGGGCTAATGTTCAAACAGAACAAAGTGTTTCTGAATGCGTCACAAACTGCTGCACCTTAGCAGTTCTTGGTGACAGATAACTTGAGCTGCACTTCAAAGTCATATCCCGATGCCTCAGCTGAGAGGAATTCATTTCAGGAAAGACTCTGGCAGTTTTCTTTGTAAAACGGATTTTGGGGGGAGAAAAATAGTACTCTAATAAATAATTAAATTTAAACGAAAGAAATACGTAACCTTCAGTTTAGACCTACATCAGTAAGACAGATTCAGGTTTGAAACCGTTCGCCTGGCAGCTCCTGTTTGAAGTAGACCTGATGAGGTTGCCAGCTTTGTTCTGAGAGCAGCGTGGTGCTGCCCAGTGACGGGGGCTGCTCAGAAAGAGTGGAGATTTCACACCTGTAGGAGTTGGGGTAGGTTGTCCATGAGGATGAACAGTAAATGGCAATGTTTCTTTCTGTTCCTTTCATAAGTCATCAGAAAGTCTGTCTCTGGCCTCATAAATACAAGGAAATGTATACCGCCACCCCTGTGGCCATAGCCCGGGGTCTAATTTAATACTGAGAGCTGTTTCCCAAAATGTATTCATTGGAACACATTCCACAGGATTATATTGGGTATTTCTTTTTAAAAAGCTGTTTATAGTTATATA